TTCGTTGAATGCGGACCAGAGGGAGAAGCTGGTACTTACTGGGGTGCCCCTGGATAGAGATGAAAATAGTATTCCAAATACGGCCGGATTATATCTAATATAATAATAATATAATATAATCATTTTACACATCTCACACACGGCTGTCTGATCCCAAACTAGGCAGAGCCTGTACTATGGTAATCAGACTGCTGATAAACATACTTATATATTTCTAAATACATACATAATATAGATAAATTACACCCAGACACAGAACAAATGATTGTGCTCATCACACAATTATTTGTTCTGGGTGGGAATCGAACCCACGACCTCCGGCTTAGCAGTCAGGGTCACTAACCACTAGACCAACAGGCCCGTATGATACTATATAAGTTATGAGATGCTCGAAATTAAATAAAACGGAACGCATCTGTGTCATATACGAGTATTATATTATTAAAAGGCAAATTTATTTGAAAATCGAACTTAAACTGGAGGAGGAGGAGAACATAACTGGAACTTAAATCGAATGAAAATAGAGCTTAAACGTGAACACTTGCGTGCTACGTATTACGACTTTAAATGTGGTTTATCTGAAGGTTTAAGATTAGAACTTTAAAAAAAAGCTCAGATACTTCTCAGGCACCCATTTTTAGATGGTTCAACGAATTTAAAAGAAAAAAACTAGCCTTGAAGATAATGACAGAAGTGGACGCCCGTAAACAGCACTCACTGCTGAAAATGTGTGGACTACTGAAATGCTTGTACGAGTTTTTTTTTTTTAAAAGACAACTTCCACATTAGGAATATATCCTGTGTCGCGGGGGACTTTACAAACATAAATGAATCGGACACAAAGAACACCCAGACTCGGAACAACAATTTGTAGATCACACAAAGTGTCGTCCCATGTGGGGATCGAACCTACAACACACAGCGTAGTAGGTAGCGGCGTGGTGACCGCCTTAACCACTACGCCATCCGTGCAGTCACCGAGATGACCCACGAATTACATACACGGGCATAAAGAAAATCTTAGGCATCAGTCCGGTTAGTGTTCACACCATATTACATAAACATCTTAGAATGAGGAAGCTTTGTTGTCGTTTTACATATTTTTATCTAGGGAACAGTACTTCACTTTTCTGTGATTTATCGCGGCACCGAATAACTAATCTTGGTTATGTATTCGATAACTAATGATAGTGATACCTATCGTGTCATTTTAGTACGTAGTACGTAGGTAGTATTTTAATTGAAAACAATAATAGCTATACTTCTTATACAAGGTTTATTTCTTTTCTTCTCTTTTTAATATAGTTTTTTGTACTAATGTTAGTGTAATTTATTTATTGGTCGAGAGGATTTTGTTTGGAAAATTGATGATAAAATGGAATGGATGTATTTAGAAATATTAAAGAATGCTTTAGTTAGAAATATATGTGCCCGGTTGACGACAAGAGGCTTGGACCCTAATTACTTAAGTAAGACTAAAATATAATCGGCAAACGTCAGTGTTTCAACACGTCTCTATCTGCCTCTATGTATATACAACCCTATATTTTTATAAAAATATATTGGCTTATGTGTCTTGGAAACGGACGACTCGACTAATGTGGCTATTTTTTATTGTGTTCGTGAACATTTGTTTTAAAAAGTACCTTAAATTTCACTTTCGGTGTTCATTTCATACCTTTAATAAAATGAAACGTCTGAATATTGCAAAAACACAGCTACTAATGGATAACACCTTATTTATGTTTTCAAATACATTTCAATTTAAAATTCCATTTTAGAAAAACCTCAAAGTTGGAGCAGTTAAAACTCGAAGGAAAAATCATGTGTGTGTGTGACACGGAATGGAGAAACGAGTATAAATATTTTATGAATGCTTTTGTACTCTGGCTTAATATACACACATATGTTTTGTGTAACCATGCATTTTTGCTTTTAACACCTACCACAGTAAACGAGAGTGTGGGCATAAAGCGAGATCTCGTATTAGAAACATAAGTGCTACAGATGAACTACGTCGGATTTTATGGATACTTGGAAGATACAGATATAGGAGATACAGAAGTAAGGCAAAATACAATGTAACATTATAAGCTAGGATATTTTGTCATTGTTTTTTCTTTGTATTACCGTGTCGAGAGAGACTTACAATTACATAACATGTGCATTAAATAAAAGTCGTCGCAAAGTTGATAAGTTTTAGGGTGCAATACAAAACCGAAGGATTGTAATATTAACACAATTAGTCAATTGGAATGAATGTTAAGTTGGTAGCGAATACATTCGCAATGCATAATGCATTGTGTTCCTGTTGTTATGAACTTTGTCAATATGTTAGGGGTATGCGTTGTTGCGCTACATCGAATACAAACTTGTTCAAAATGAGTAAGCCAATGCGGCTTCTGCTTGACACGAATGTACGATCACGATATTTATTTAAGTTTCAAATAGTTGGCAACATTTCACGGAGCTCGGTTTTTGTTTCGCAATTGAGTTTAAGAAGAAATATAGCGCAGACGTCAAAAATAACAACGTACATTCGGTGTCGAACAAAACCGTATCCTGTACTTAAAGTGGAAACTAATTTTTAGCGTTATTTTGGCATTAGTCGTATTTTTTTCTCTTAATATTACATAGAATAATCAGATCACATTAACACTAATAACTTTCATCTAAGTTAGTGGTGGATGGTTGATGATAGTAACAATGTCTACTATTTAGGTTTAAGAAAGTAATTTGTTTAATTTATACCTATAAACACATTTAAACTACTACCTTTCATCTTTCTTATTACATATTGACTCTTAGGAATGAAATAAGATGTAAATAAACATGACTTGTATCCTTCTCACAACTAAATGCTGTTGTATTCTTGGACAGAGTATGAGAAGAATCTCCCTTTTAACCCGTATTAGTTAACCAGAATGGTAGCGAAAGTTTAATTATTTTAATATACATAATACGTTTATTTGAATTATAAGAAAATATACTTTCAAGCATCACTGGCTAAAGTTTTCTCTATTCATAAACTTTCTTCTCATCGTTTTCATAATTATCAAACTGCAAATATAAAATAGCCTTATGGCTATTTTAACCTAATTACCCTTTGATTGACCTGATACCCTTTGATTGTTAGTTTTTAGATTGAAAGTTTATACTTTACTTGCACATTTTGCAGTTGACTGTTTCCAGGTTCAATTACAGCAGGCCTTTGACCAGACAGAATGACAATTATTATTCGTAAATAAATTTGAACTTATCAAGACAGCGTATTAAGTCAATATGTGACCATATATAGGTTGTGCATACGCTGAACACCATCTGGTAAACACTGATTTTCACTAATTAGATATCAAGATTCAACAACTAATTCAAACTATTTGAATGAGGAACTAATTAAGAACTTTAATATAGAATCTGCGAATTGGTAAAGTACCTGCACCCGAGGCCGCGATTAACAAGCATTTATAATGCTGTAATTCGGGTGTTGACTAGGGTCCACGGGAATAAAGCAAGCAAATAAGTTGAACCACTAGCGTTGAAATCGATTACCATCAATGGATACGTGTGTTTGCCAACTTGGTAAAGTAAAAATTCGCAATAGATAACCTAACCTAGAAAAACACTAAATTACCATTATATCTACATATTTATTTCACTTCCAAGACATATTTTTACATTTGTCTGATTTTAAAATTAGAATAAAAAATACAAGAAAATTAACGCGTTCTTTGTAATCCTTAAAGCGTTTTGGTATATTGCAAAACGATTATATAGCAAATAAAACTACCAAGTAACAAGCCTAAACCCGTACCCCATGGGATAAATGAACATAAAGAGTAAAGCTGGAATTATTAAAATGACGTCCTACGCTTAGTTGTGTGGGCACACAATAATCATAGCACTGAAATCGGAGCAAGGTTGATCTGAATTATAATGTATCGAGCATACCAGCACACACATTTCATGAAAGTCTTTTTTTAAAGCTATTAATAGCTAAATTAAGGAGAAAGTTTTGTTCAATGTATTTCAAATGAATATCAAAAAGGATCGAAACACCAGACAGTTTCAAATACCATCGTACTTACATATGTGCTCTTGTGATAATATGATAATGTATACAGTTCTTTTTAAGAGTTTAAGTGCATTTGCACAGCCTGATGAACGTCTACAGTCTAGACGATTGATAATTGCCTTAGACAACGAATAATCCCACAAACGTCATAAATGTGCGTTCGCAGTTAAATAAATGGGTAGTTTCTGAAAAGCTAGAGTACTAAACGCAATAATAGTATTCTTGGAAGAGCTATTCAGCAAAAGTCCGTATTTGCTTTCCATAACGCCAGTTTTCAACATACACGAGGGAGACAAATAAAGTATTTAACAGCTAAACGTCTTTAAGTTCGCTGGAATTGCACAGGCATCCATCTCAGCGGTGCAGTGGCATAAACTCGTTCCGAAAGCAATAAATTGTGATTACGAAAGGGTCGACTTGCATTCAAGTGTACATTTTCATTTCGATTTGTACGTTTTATTGGTAATGTACTTTTACTGTATTGTTGTGATGTGCCTTACTAATTAATAGATTTCAATTAACTAAGCTGTACATAACTCAATTTATTTCACCGAAAATAACAACGATCTTAACTTTGGCCCATAAAAAAATATATTTGCGTAATTAAATAAATTTAGTAAACATCTTCTTTATACTTAATTTTTTTTTGGTCCGTTTGGTGACGAGTCTAGCCAGCGGGGTATAGTAGGCCAAAACCTTCTTTCTAAAGAGAGGCCGATGTTTAGCAGTGGACTCTTTAAAGGCTATTGATGCGATGTCTATTTTTTAAATAATTTGTTAAGATCACCGTACATTCTCTGCGTTCAGGAACCAAAATCTCCCGATGTAACCAATTACACGCTTTAATCATTAAAACTAATTTGCAAACGAATTTTAAGTCAATATTCTTCGAAAAAAAAAATCGACCCTTGAATATATTACTGACCTGCCATTTTGAGGGTTAGGTGACGCCCTGTCTCCCTGCACTAGAAACAATGAACCTCTATCAGCGTCCAGGAGTATGGAGACATTTTGAAGGATCTTGTGACATAGAACTCGCACCTCAAGCTCGTTGCATATGTCTTTCACCTGAAAGAAAAATAACAAAGTTAAAACAATATTTTTCTGAGTACCAAAAAACTGTTTAAAAATTATAGGCACAATACTACTGGGCCTTAATTCTATTTTATGTCAAAGCCAAACCACTGTCGTTCCATTGACACGCTATTGAGATGCTATTGAGACGACATCGGTCAAAATATCAGTATTCTACTAACATAAATTCACAGAATGAATAGGCTGCCGATATTGTAATATACTCGTAGGTCATCAATGGTGATATCAACAACATTGGTATACCTGGAAAATTAAATAAATCACTTTCCATTCTAAATGTACCTTTTACCAAACTATTATAAGGACATCGACGACATTTGTATCAGTGACATATGTCGTACATAGTTAGTGGAATAGGAAAAGTGCAAAACTATTCCGACGACATTCCACTGTCTATTGATACAATATCATCCATACCATCGACTGTCTATTGATACAATATTAAAATAGCAGAATTAAGGGCCTGTTCCTGTTAAATACCTAATATATCGGCGGACTTAATGCCGTGGGCATTAAGTCCGCCGATGTACAAAAGTGCATAAAGATGAATAAATAAATAAATATATCCGTAGTCTATTAATATCCTACTGCTAAGCTAGTCAGGCTGCACAACTGCAGCAAAAACATGCTGTGACCTGTTTATTTGTTTACCTTAGGAAGTCATGATATATATACAGCACATTTTCCTTAATTTATTACAATTAATAACATGACAAATATAATTCCAAACAAAACTAGAGTAATGTATTGTTTCACTTTTAACTTGTGTAAAAGAATTAAATTAAGTACCTACCAGCGGAATATCGTCCTATACATTAAAGTCTTCAGTTACACACACTTACTAATATATTTTTTAAGAAGATAACTTAAAACTTTCCTAATCTGCATTTTACTTAAAGATGAATAGTATTGTACGGCAAACAAACATAAAAGTGCTGATAAGTGGGGCCGTTGAACTCGAAATTTTTAACAATAATAGGAACTATATGAAGAAAGACAAAACTGGGTCCTAACCCCGTGTATAAAAAGGGTTCATTTCTTTGTACATTCAAAACAATCAACGATATTCATCAACAAAAGTTGACTTACGAAAGTTCTTTCTGACACAAAAAGGATGTAAGTCTTTTGTTACGAGTAAAATATATAAGTTTACGGACCGTCGTCTAGATACAGTAGAAGATACGAACAAACTTGTACCTTGTCTACCTACACGGTCTAAGCTTAAAAGGTTATTCCATAACGTCGAATATGATTTCCGAACTAATTTCCGCCAAGTATTTCCACCAGCACCGTGTATTTATAATATTAGTAAATATGATTCACAAATATTCATATTTCCGCTGTCCTGAATACCCGTGTGAATTTCAAAAGCCTACAACTGAAATATAAATTCAATCAATACTCATTATACTATTTTATTAACGAAAGCCAACTAAAGGCATTAGAAATACACCCTGTGTCGCGGGGGACTTTACAAACATACATGAAACGGACATAAAGAACACCCAGGCTCAACAACAATTAGTGGATCACACAAAGTGTCGTCCCATGTGGGGATCGGACCCACAACACTCAGCGTAGTGGTAAGCGCCGTGGCGAACGCTTAAACCACTACGCCATCCGTGCAGTCTATTCAGTCAGAATATTGGTCCGAATGGTCAGATTTCAGCAATATTTGATTCTGTTTTGACAAATCTCTGTTCGCGATATATCTTAAAATAAATAATAGTTTAAAAAACTATAAAACACTTTGTAGCTAGCTCAAAAGCGAAGGGTGCTAGATCTCATTTGTGGTAAAAATATTTTAGACAAGAATATGACAGATATTAGTAAAAGTAAATTTATTATATATCTTGAAAAGCACCCCACGCTTTTTTACGATAAACTGCTTTTTGTTTTCGAACTTATAGAACATTATTACCTACTTTTTAGTTCGGCTAGCTACAAAAGTTTTTTTTTTTAAACTATAATTATTTTTTTGCTTTTTTAGTCATTAATTATTATTATTATCTTATTACGACTAAAAATGTAACAAGTAAGTTTATTACATATGCTTCAGCATACGCATAGAACATGACAAAATACACTACCGTATTTTTAGGTACGGAAAAAGCCGTTAATCCTGACGGTCCTGACGGATCAGGATAATGGAACAAACTATTTAAACAATTGCATTGTCATTAGACTTACGAAGAAGTAGGAGTTGGGTTATGGGTTATTATGGTTATGTATGTTATATGTACCTAGTTATAAAATTAAGAGACCGGGTCGGAACCTTCTTTTGTTTGAGAGTATTAAACAGCTACGGCGAAGACTTATGTCTAAAAACAGAAGAATAGAATAATTCCTCCCTAAATTCAGTAGTAAACGTGCAAGATCTGACGTAATAACATACCTAGTAACAATCAAAGGCCATTAAGCCTAGCAATATATATCTACGAACGAGGTCGACGTAATTTTGCAATTTCCTTTGAACTGATTTTTTTTTCATTAATCACTAGTTCACAAAGAATGTACACAAACCTTAGAGAGGTTGCAAACAATATTGTTATTTAGCTGATAGCAACCGTAATAACTACACAATATAACAAAATCCTTGACACAAATAGTATTCAGAGAAACCATAACATACCCACATAACCTGTCGACATTGACATATATCTTGTTTGAATTAAAACTGTTAACGAATTAACAGAGCTTAGTATTGAAATTAATCATTTATTGTCATCTGTATTTATCTCAATTAGGTAAACGAAATGACAAATTATAGTCCATTTGGGTCGAACGTGACGCTCCAATAATCTGTAAACCCTCAACCAAACATTTAGGTTAGACGGGAACCTCGTTTAGCAGAAAAGGTGTATTTTTTTATGATATGGAATATATAATACCTATATCACTATTTATTTTAGAACACCGATAATCATACATACGAATATTATACAAAGTATACACACCCATGCACCATAATTTCTTTACGCAAACAAAAGTTTCATTTGATCGAAATAGTTTGCGGATCGTTTATAATTTCCTAAACATAAGATTAACATGTGTTAATCTGCACAGAATTTTTTAGGCAGCTCCAATACTTATTTATATCGCACAGATAAACAGTTCTTTGCTACACGTCAGTGTTAATGAATGAATTATAAATATTTACGGACAGTACGCACCCGTAGCGCGCGCTGCTCTGATATACTCAGTAGGTATTACGTATTTAGCCAAACAAAACGACGGTTATCATACAAGCATCGTTATGCTAAGCATATGCTGTTAGTATGCTAAGCAAACGACGGTTCTCACTAACTTGGCTATACGTTGTGGCTAACTGCCACACAAGTCAATATGAAAAATGTAAAGCGGTGAATTAATTGTATTCACATTACATATCGCTACTCCATTTGTTTATACATTAGAAACCGTCGCCATTGCGCCTCAAAATATGCTTTGCCTAATTCCTTATAATTTTGAACCTCAGCTATGTGATCTTAAGTTACTTATAAGTTATCATTAATTTAAAAAATATCGTTATTTCTGTGTTTGCTTTAGATTATTATGTAACACAGATACTAGACGTTTGTTTATAATTTTGTGTGTCACCATTTATTTGTATAAGGGAACAATAAGGTCTTTTATGCAAATAACTTCAACATTTCGATTGTTTAAGAATAATAATTAGTGCAAATGTACCTACTGGGCCGTGCGGCGCCCGTTTATCAAATGCGGGCATACTGTCGGCAGTCAGTAGTCGAGCCACGGAACTAAAGGCACTGGAATAACAAGGCATAAGGAGCATATACATATGCACCTTTGAATCGGCAGAACCTGTATCCAGGGTCAAAATAACCTGGTCCAAATGTAGGGCATGGAACTCGAATTTTTTATAAATTGAACATTTTATGAAATAAAAATGCCCTTTCCAGTGGGTGATGGGTCATTGAGTGTGTTTACAGTAATTAGCAAGCGGTTTTTTTTATCGGAGTTGACCCTTGCCTGTCAGTGGCGAGCCGACAGAGGCCTAATTTAGGTATGTATGTATATATGTAAAACGACAACCGATTGTATTTTGTAAATTCACATTTAATGAGGTTAGCATGTCTTGACATTTTATTGGTGGCATATAAATTTTAGATTTTTACATGCAAGAGCATGCATCGATAAAAGGGATCTTCTGCAATAAATTTTACTAGTTTTTATCTGTCTTCAGTTGGCATTCGAAACAATCTAATTGCGTAACGATCTACAAAAATAGGACTCAAAGGACACCGACAGCTTGGGCCATGGGGTGGGCATTTTTATATTTAAATAAAAACATTACTAGTTAGTAGCTGAAGCTATGTAGAAACCAATAATATAATTTGTTTAGTATCCAGTCCAATAAAATAATTATAAAAAAATAAAACACCGTGATTCTTGCAAACATTTAGTTTCAATTTTCGTCACCATCACTTTCATACATTATTATCTACAAATTGAGCTGGAGGAGTAACATTTCCTTTCTTTTACAAAAGAAGCAAAGTCTTGAATTGACTAGAGTAGATGAAAATTGTCATTTCGTAGATGAAATTGGCAAATTCGACATTGCTGTGGTATATAATAATTTTACTTAGCAAATATCTGTACTCTGAGCCACTTGGGAATCCTCAATCTCTCTTCATAGTTACAGCCAGGGAAAAAACTGTAATTGGGTATCAGGCGCCCTTCTCAAATCCGGTAAATTGATGGTTTCTTCTAGATTCTGTATTTCACCTTCACCTTCATTAACTGTCTCCACATTTCGAGTAACTTGCTTATTAGCTCTATGTCAATAAGGATGACAAATTCTGTTAGAGCGCTCTCCACTAAAACAAAAATTTTTTTTCTTCACTTATAGATTACAATATAATCCTCACTGCATGTCAACTAGTCTTATTTTTGTGTAGGTGCTCATTTTAATTGAACTTCATAAATAACAATAGCTATTTGCATATCTC